CAATTTTGGGGATTTTGGGGAATTTTGGGGATTTTTGTGTAGAATTTTGGGGATTTTTTTTTGGGAAATTTTTTAATTTCGGGAATTTGGGAATTTTTTTGGGAATTTTGGGGCGGATTTTTGGGATTTTCGTGTAGAATTTTGGGGATTTTTTGGGGAATTTCGGGAATTTTGTGAATTTTGGGGATTTTTTTGGGAATTTCAGGATTTTGGGGAATTTTTTGGGAATTTTGGGGAATTTTGGGGTGACTTTTGAGGTGAATTTTGGGGTGGATTTTTGGGGATTTTGGGGCGGATTTTTGGGATTTTGGTGTCAAATTTTGGGGATTTTTTCGGGAATTTTAGGATTTCGGGAATTTGAGGATTTTTAGGAATTTCGGGCTGGATTTTGGGGGGAATTTCAGTGATTTTTGCCCATTTTTGTCCATATTTTCGCTATTTCGGTGCCGATTTTCACCATTTTTGTGCAGAATTTTGGGGATTTTTTTGGGAATTTGGGAATTTCGGGAATTTTGGGAATTTGGGAATTTTATGGGAATTTTTTAGGAATTTCGGGCTGGATTTTGGGCGTAATTTCAGTTATTTTTGGCCGTTTTTTCGCCATTTCAGTGCCGATTTTCGCCATTTTTGTGCAGAATTTTGGGGATTTTTTTGGGAATTTGGGAATTTCGGGAATTTGAGGATTTTTGGGAATTTCGGGCTGGATTTTGGGCGTAATTTCAGTGATTTTTGCCTATTTTTGTCCATATTTTCGCCATTTCAGTGCCGATTTTCACCATTTTTGTGCAGAATTTTGGGGATTTTTTTGGGAATTTGGGGATTTCGTGAATTTTGGGAATTTTTTGGGATTTTTTGGAATTTCGGGCTGGATTTTGGGGGTAATTTCAGTGATTTTTGCCCATTTTTGTCCATATTTTCGCCATTTCGGTGCCGATTTTCGCCATTTTTGTGCAGAATTTTGGGGATTTTTTTTTAATTTGGGAATTTTGTGAATTTTGGGGATTTTTTTTGGAATTTCAGGAATTTTGGGGGGAATTTTGGGGTGGATTTTAGGCTGAATTTTGGGGTGGATTTCAGGGATTTTTGGCTCTTCTGGGCTGGATTTTTGGGATTTTGGTGTCAAATTTTGGGGATTTTTTCGGGAATTTTAGGATTTTGGGAATTTGGGGATTTTTGGGAATTTCGGGCTGGATTTTGGGGGTAATTTCAGGGATTTTTGCCTATTTTTGTCCATATTTTCGCCATTTTGGTGCCGATTTTCACCGTTTTTGTGCAGAATTTTGGGGATTTTTTTGGGAATTTGGGAATTTTGTGAATTTTGGGAATTTTTTCGGGAATCCAGGATCGGGCTGGCCATGGCCGGGGCGGATTTTGGGCCGGATTTTGGGGATTTTGGTGGCGATTTTCGCCATTTTGGTGCAGAATTTTGGGGATTTTTTTGGGAATTTGGGAATTTTGGGAATTTTGGGAATTTTTTGGGATTTTTTGGGAATTTCGGGCTGGATTTTGGGGGTAATTTCAGTGATTTTTGCCTATTTTTGTCCATATTTTCGCCATTTCGGTGCCGATTTTTACCATTTTTGTGCAGAATTTTGGGGATTTTTTTGGGAATTTGGGGATTTCGTGAATTTTGGGAATTTTTTTGGGAATCCAGGATCGGGCTGGCCATGGCCGGGGCGGATTTTGGGCCGAATTTTCGCCATTTCGGTGCCAATTTTCGCCGTTTTGGTGCAGAATTTTGGGAATTTTGGGATTTCGGGAATTTGGGAATTTTTGGGGATTTTTTGGGAATTTCGGGCTGGATTTTGGGGGTAATTTCAGTGATTTTTGCCTATTTTTGTCCATATTTTCGCCATTTCGGTGCCGATTTTCACCGTTTTTGTGCAGAATTTTGGGGATTTTTTTGGGAATTTGGGAATTTCGTGAATTTTGGGAATTTTTTCGGGAATCCAGGATCGGGCTGGCCGTGGCCGAGGCGCTGGCCGGGGCCGGGGCTCGCGTCTTCCTCAGCTCCCGACGCCCCCAAAACGTCCGGAGAGCCCTGGAGCAGCTGCGGGGGCGGGGCCTGCAGGTGAGGGGCGGGGCCAAAATCTGGGGACAATTCCGGCGATTTTGGGCAATTTGGGAAAAAATTCGGAAAAATTTGGGGTCATTTTTGGGTGAATTTTGGGTGAATTTTGGGTCAATTTAGGGTCAATTTTAGGTTAAGTGTGGGTGAATTTTGGATTAATTTTGAGTTGATTTTGGGACAATTTTGGGAAATTTTCAGTCAATTTTGGGTCAATATTGAAATAATTTTGAATTAATTCTGACTTAATTTTGGGTCAATTTAGGGTGAATTTTGGGTGAATTTTGGGTTGATTTTGGGACAATTTTAGGTTAATTTTGGGTTAATTTTGGGTTAATCTTGTTTAATTTTGAGACAATTTTGGGTTAATTTTGAGTCAATTTTGGGTCAATTTAGGGTGAATTTTGGGTCAATTTTGGGTTGATTTTGAGTCAATTTTGGGGTAATTTTGAGTCAATTTTGGGTCAATTTAGGGTGAATTTTGAGTCAATTTTGAGTCAATTTTGGGTCAATTTTGAGTCAATTTTGGGTCAATTTTGAGTCAATTTTGGGTCAATTTTGAATGAATTTTGAAATAATTTTGGGTTAATTTTCAGTCAATTTTCGGTTTACTTTGCGTTACTTTGGGTCAATTTTGGGTTAATTTTGGGT